GCCTAAATTTACATGTTGGTCCAACGTAACTCTTTTTATCCCCAAACTCTCTTTGTGCAGGACAAGCAGGGTGTATCGAAAATGTTTAAGGTGATGTTGGACTGGGTCATAGAATGACCCAGCTCCACTCTTAGTGCAGGCTTGCCCCCATCAGGAAATCCTGTGTGGAGCTGATGAGGTTTGGTTGCAATCTTTGGGGCTCTGTGTCTGACTTTGGAACACTAGTTCTGTTACCCAATGATTTCAATGAGCCTCGAAAACCCTGAAAATTAATGTTAGAACTTGGTCTTTCCACCTCACTGCTGAGATCTCGTGATATTTGTGAAAGGTCCAAGATCAACTTAGAAGTGTATCAATGAAAATGGGTGTTTAGGTCCTATGGAAGGCAATTGAGGTGAGAAAGTGGCAAATGTTTTTGCTTGTCTTACGTACGTTCTGGCCTGAGCTTCATGTTTAGTGCAGGTTAGGTACTGCCCATTTTTGGGAAAACACCTTGGCATCCGAGGATAATGTAACAGAAGTGGAAATCTAATTAAAAGGCCTGTGCCCACCCACAGCAGTTCTCTAAGAAATGAGCATTTCTTAAACTCTACAGAGACACAAAACTATTGGGGCTTTCATGTTCACCTGCGTCAATGTTAAATCTGTATTTTTACTGTCCCAAACTTCTGACATCTGCCATGATTTAATTTGTGTCAATAAATGTGGAGCTGGAAAAGCACAGCCAGTCAGACAGCGTCTGAGGAGCAAGAAAATCAACATTTCGGGCCGAAACCCTTCATCAGGACTGGAGAGGGAGAGGGGGAGGGGAGCCAAGAGGTAAGTAGATGGAGGGAGGTGAGGCTGGGGGGCAGTAGATGAGATGGAGATAGGTGGATACAGGTAGGGGGTTATTGTGGTTTGTCAGTGGGAAGGGTGGAGCAGACAGGTTGGGGGAGGAGAGATTTTAAAGCTGGTGAAGTCAATATTCAGGCCATTGGGCTGTATGCTCAAAAGCGAAATATGAAGTTTTTTTCCTTCATTTTACGTTTGGTCTCACACTGACAGTGGAGGCAGCCAAGGATGGACATGTCACCAGGGGAGTGGGAAAGGGAGTTAAAGTGGATGGGAACCAGAAGGTTGGGTAGGTTGGTGCGTGCAAAGCATGGATGCTCCGCAAAACAGTCACCGAGTCTGCGTTTGCTCTCCCAGATATAGAGGAGACCACATCGGGAACAACAGATACATTAAATGAGGTTAGATGAAGTGCAGGCAAACCTCTTCCAGCTTTGGAAGGATTGTTTGGGGCCTCAGACAGAGGTGAGTGGGGAGGTGTGGGGGCTGGTGTTGCACCTCCTGCGGTTGCAGGGAAAGGTACCAGGTGTGCTGAAGGAGTTTGTGGGGAGTGTGGAGCTGATGAGGGAGTGGCAGAATGAACAGTCCCTGCAGAAAGCAGGCAGGGGTGGAGAAGGAAATATCTTTTTGGTGGTGGAGTCTGATTGTAGGTGGTGGAAATGTCAGAGGATGATGCATTGGATCCGGAGGCTGGTGGGGTGGTATGTGTGGACCAAAGGGACTCTATCCTTACTGTTGTTGGGAGGGAGAGAGTTTGAGGGCAGAAGCGCAAGAAATGGGGGAGATGCGGTTGAGGGCATCGTTAATAACCGAGGAGGGGAAACTACAGTCTCTAAAGTAGGAGGATATCTGGGAAGTCCTAGAGTACAATGCCTCATCCTGAGAGCAGATGCAGCAGAGGTGGAGGAATTGAGTATGGGATAGAATTTTTTGCAGGGGAGAGGGTGGGTGAGAGGAGGTGTAGTCGAGGTAATTGTGAGAGTCAGTGGGTTTGAAATGGATGTCAGTGGTGAGTTGGTTACCGAAGGTGGAGACAGAGGTCAGGAAAGGGAGAGAGGTGTCAGAAATGGTCCGGGTGAATTTGAAAGTGCAGTGGAAGGTATTGGCGAAGTTGATGAACTGTTTGAGCTCCTTGCTTCCTATCTCACCACACTCAGTCACTTTTGTGACATAATCTTTTGCTGATTAGAATTAGTTGGGATCCTGAGTGCTATTATTTGAATTTATATGATCGAGACAATCCAAAGATTGTGCTTTTTGAAAATATTTCTTAACAATTTTATGGGCGACACAGTGGCTCAGTGGTTAGCACTGCTGCCTCACAGTGCCAGGGACCCAGGTTCGTTTCCAGCTTCAGGCTACTGCCTGTGTAGAGTTTGTACATTCTCCCCGTGTCAGCATGGGTTTCCTCTGGGTGCTCCAGTTTTCTTGCACAGTCCAAAGATGTGCAGGTTCATGTGGATTGACCATGTTAAATTGCCCACAGTGTCCAGGGATGTGCAGGCTTGCTAGGTTAGCCATGGTTACAGGGATAGGGTAGGAATGTGGGTCTGGGTGGGATGATCTTCAGAGGGTCAGTGTAGATTCGATGGGCTGAATGGCCTGCTTCCACTCTGTACAGATTTTGAGATTCGGTAAATTTCCTTTTCATGAGATGGTGAGCTGGTTTTCTGGAAGTCCAGAAAACCGTTCCTGTAGCAAAGCATAGCCTACTCTAGATTCGGAAATGGGGAATCTACTTTAGGTTTTATATATACACTGAAAGAACTGTGTCTTTTTAATTCAGTGCCTGTGGGCTGCAAGGAGACGAAAACTTTTTAAAAACAGTGATTTAACAGTACGGTTACATAATATCACAGGAGAAATTTGATACTTATTGTGAACTTTGTTTTTTATGCCAGTGATTTCCTGCAATTGTCCATGCAGATGATCAAGAGCCTTGGAGTTGTTTATACTGAAACCGATTGGTTCTCAGATAACTCAACAGGTTGGAAGTGAAAGCAAGTTACGGAGACATAGACACACAAAGAGAGAAATAACAGAAGGGTTTGCTGTTGTTCTTCCCAGCAGAAGCTGCCTATTCTCTGCAGTAAAAGCTGAGGTTAAGCTTAAAGAAAACCAGTTAACATTCTGCAGCAGTTGCTGTTAGCTGTAACATTTGAACAGATAAATCCGAGATATTTTCCAAGTTAATCAGTTGTTATGCACTTCTGACAAACCAGTGGAAGTTTCCAGAAAAAGCCAACTGAACACCAAGGGCCTGGTTAGCCAAAGTAGGGTCATCGCAACATCGGAACTGGGTCACAAAGACCACTAAACTGAGTTTCTAATTTTTCTCTACCTCTGCTAATCATCTATTTTCCCTACTTGTTTGTCTTTGTGGTCTATATAGGGGGAGTTTATAAGGGGATGAGAATTTTAGTTAGTAGTGTTATATACAGTTGCTTATGTGTAGCTAAAGCATACTTATAATAAATATTTTCTGTTGAGCACAAAAACTTGGTCCACATTTGTATCAGCCTTGAACTGAAAGGCAGATAAATTAGAGGACTTTGTGTACCTTAGAAGAAAAACTTTAATGTTTGGCGTGACAGTAGGAATAGCAGAGCTCAATTTATGGCAATTGACTTTCGTGGGCAGTACAATGTGTATTTAAAAACCAAATTACTTTCCTGCTAGCTACCATTCACATTGCTATGTCTAGCAATGTTGGGGTATATCTAATTCCTAAATAATCACATCTACATTGATCTTTCCAAGTCTGCCATTTCAGGATTTCCCTTTGTTAGAAAATTCTTGTTTGATTTTGCACTAAAATGAACTTCTGCAAAATCTGAGAAAATGTTCTTTAAACCATTCAGCATTCATCCACATCCCTAGACAATTTGCAGCCAATTTGAGTCTCCAAACCATCTTGCAAAGCAATTCCCGATGTATGTAAGAGGATATACTAAAGATAAAGAAAACAAATAGTCTAGTTAGGTGAGGAGGTGAACCTGGTATACAGGTCCTGCTGGAAAAACCAAATTGCAGGACCCAAACCTGAGCAAGGGAGGAATTGACAGGGTAAGAGGAAGACTGAGGGGCTTTCGGTAGATTGTGGAGTAGGAAGCAGGGAATTGAAGCATGCATCTCGTGGCTCAATAGACTGCATTGTTGGAAGAATAATAGGGTTATGTTGCTCAGCTAATTTCCACACAGTATTCATTTGTATCACCACAGTGACACTAATGAATAGATGGGATCATATGGCTAGAAGACCTCACAAATCAGATGCTCTAATAATATAGTTATTTGTCACAATAGACCGTTGAGGCTGGTTATAAAACTTTCGGAGTGTGATTGTTACAATAGCTATTGTCAACTATAGGCCATTAATGATTTATTCAGATCCACAGCTAGTCGCATTTTCAAATGTTGATCACATCAGAAAATAAAGAAGAATTGGGAGCAAGAGTAGGCAAGTCAGCCCCTCAGGCCTCCTTCGCCGTGCAATGCAATCATGGCTGAGCTCATCTTGGCCTCAACTTCACTTTCCTGCCCACTATCTACAAGGCTTCAACCCATTTCTAATCAAAAATCTGTCTATCTCTCTCTTAAATTTACTCAATGTTCCGGCATCCATCACACTCTGGGATAGTGAATTCCAAAGATTCCCAACTCTTTGAGAGAAGTAATTTCTTCTCAACTCTCTGTTTTATATCTGCTACCTGTTATCCTAAAATTATGACTCCACGTTTTAGATTACCCGACGTGGGGAAACATTCTATCTATATCAAGTATGTCCATACGCTTTAGTATCTTACATACCTCAATTAGATCTTCCCTCATTCTTCTAAACTCCAGAGAGTCTCGGCCTAAATGCTCAGTCTTTCTTCACCAATGATCATCAATGATTCTCCACTTTGTTGTGTCAATGTGCATAAACTGCAAAAGTATACAGTTTTAATTTTTGTGTGGTAAAGATATTTCAAAGAACTTTGTTAGAAATAAAATATTATGAAAGGTAGGATTTTTATTGGCACCAATGCAGTTTTATAGAGGGAGACTACATTGTCATTTTATTTGAAGAATAATTTGTTGTTATTTATGATATATTATATAGCTTGAACAGTTTGAAGACTTTTTCAGATAAATTCTAAACAATGATTGATCCTTGGTTTCAGCATGATGTGTCCCAGACTTTACTTAAAGCCACCTTGGACAGTGTGGTTGAAGAATGTGTCAGCTTTGTGGGAGTGGATATCAACATAAGTTCGGAAACCCTGATGAGGTAGGCATATTATTGTTCAGTGCTGTAATTGCATGGCAATTGATCACAGGGTCTCTGTTTACACTATCTTTTAACTTAATTTCAGCTGGTGCTTTGTGGTCCTGGCATAGACTATCAGCTGTATGGGGAATGACAAGTTTAGGCAGTACTTTAGTTGCACTATATTAAAAGTCTTCCTTTGAAAAAAATAGGATGAAGGACATTAAAGAAAATGCTGTCAAGTTATGAATTACAGACTTAGTTAAATGAAGACTGTTTGTACTAAGGTGAATGTGTGTATATATACATTTTTAAAAATGTTTATACGTTATGTCAATGAATTAAGTTACAACATTTTAATTTCTGGAATGAAATTATTTATGTGTGAAGTATATATTTGTTTATGAAAGCATTTCCGGTCCTGTCTTCTGACAAATGTCCTTGTTCACTATAGGTTTGTTAAGTGTTAAGAGGCTTGCATAGGTGTACATTTGTTGCTAAAGTTTTAATTTTTCTATGTAGGGTGTTTTGAGGTCTCATGAACATGTGAACCTCCTTTGCCCATGTTGTGCTTTTTTTATTATGATAAGTATTTGTTTCTTGCTATTTGTTATTATAAACTGTATTCACTATCCATATTGTTTCTCTGTTTTAAAACCTATCAATTCAGGAACTGTTGGAGAACTTCAAATAATAGATGTAATTTCTTAATCATAGAATCCCTATAGTGTGAAAACAGGCCATTCGGCCCAACAAGTCCACACTGCCCCTCCAAAGAGCATCCCACCCAGACCCATTCCCCTACCACTGGATTTCCCCATGTCTAACCCACCTAACCTAAACATCCCTGGGCACTATGGACAATTTAGCATGGCGAATCCACCTACCCTGCACATCTTTGGACTGTGGGAGGAAACTGGAGCACCTGGAGAAAATCTGCACAGACAAGGGGAGAATGTGCAAACTCCACAAAGACAGTCACCCAAGGGTAGAATCGAACCTGGGTCCCAAGTGCTGTGAGGCAGCAGTGCTAACCACTGAGCCACCGTGCGGTCCCTTTCTGGCAAATAGAAATTTTACTGTTTGATTTGGTAGTTTTTTGAGCCAACAATACAACAATCTAACTTGGAGGCTTATCCCTCATATATGTACTATTTTGTCTTAGTGGAAAAAGCTTAACAGAAAAAGATGTATTTAAAGGGAAAGTCTGTCATTGATATTATGACTGCTTACTTCCCATCTAACACATTCTGTTTCACACTTTGAGATGAAATTAGTCAATGCTGACAGAACAAAATGGGTTGAATGCAATCAACATATACTGAACTCCATTTGCTTTTACATTTATTTCTCTTGAAATCAGCTGAAGGCCCTTCTGGAGCAGCCAACACATCTCTGTCACAGTCTTTGTAGCAATGGATAAAATAGGCCTCAGCTTATGGCTGTCTAAATATAGGTCTGACTCACAAATGCATTCATAAGTTCTGAGATGTCATCACATCTGCATGTGATGCTGCTTCATAACTTTCTTTACATCAAGAAAAGCTATTTTATGATAAATATGCCCATAATTTTATAATATATGCCTCTGAGTGGCCGATACGGCTATGCCAGAATGTAGCTTTATGAAATAAGTCTTTGGATTGTTTGTGCCAAGGACTTTAGCAACTGCATTTTCATTTGGATTGAGCTTTCCTTTCTGTTAGAAGATTGACAGAACATGCAGACAGTTGAGACTGCACCTGAACAGCCTGCCTATATTTACCATCCTATAGATTCGAGATACAGATGCAGAAAGTCACTCTCATCTAGATTTGTAAGAGAAACTCTGCCTTCGTGGAATGTGGTCACAAGGAAGTATGTGCCAGAATTGTGACAAAAATGGTTTGACCTATAGCAAACTCTGCAATTGGTGTGACACTGCCAGTATTGTTAAGTTCAACGTAGCCTTGAATGTCCAATATTCACACTGTTTCAACAAGAGATTTTGCCATCAAGTTGTAGTGCATAGATTGGTCAAGCAGATGACTGACCATTTTGAGCAAATAATTTTTTCACCTTTCCAATGGACAGCTGACATCATCATGAAGCAAGCTTTACTTTTGCTCATATGTAGATTTCCTTATGTTTAGAGCATGATAGCAATCACATGATGCAATGCTTTCCTGCACTTAATAACATTGTGAACAGCTGTCTGTGCATGCATTTAGTTGCACACAACCGCTAGAATCATGGTACAGTTCACTAGACATCTTGAAACAATGCTTCCAATATCTTCATAGGTAAATGGGTATTTGATGAAACAGCCCAGCCAAAGTCTATGGGATAATCTTAGTGCGCATACTATGCAGTTTTGCACATTGTGTGGCATAAAGTTCGAACAGCTATTGGAAGTAACAAATAGTGCATCGAGGATAAGCAGAAGGAAGCAGAAAACCCTGCTGCTGAAGCTTCTTGGCAGACACTAATGGAGTGTATCAGGCTCACAAATTGATTTCTTTTTTACCGAAGTACTTTTATCTAATGCATTCTATTTTGTTTTATTTCACCTTGCTAAATAAACCTTTATGAATTTAGCCTTTATTGCAAGTGAACTACAATCCTTGTCACTACTGAGGATAGTGGTCTGCTCCAAACCAGCACCACTAAAGCTAAAATGTCTTTCCACCATCTCAAATGCCTATGTAATTGATCAGAAAACGTTTTTTTTTTTAATTTTGCGTGTACACCATTCAGGTCTGAATGCTTGGACCCATTTGTTTCAGATTCAAGTAAGCTGACTCTGTGAATCACAGATTCATACTCCTGTATCACCACAATTTGCTGTTTGCCCTGTACATCATAAGATGCAGACTCCTGTAACTCGTCATGAAATTCTACTGCGGCATGTGTACCTGTTTTATCAATATAACAAAAGAATGTTAAATGTTATAAGTTGGTAGGCATCTCCCGGCTACTGGGAACTGCTGAAAAACACCTGAGCTCATCTGGGAAAAGTGAAGAAGTGCATTCACTAGAATTGAGACTGTCAAGCCAAAACAGATTATAGGGCTCATTTAGAGATAGTAAGAACTGCAGATGCTGGAGTCTGCTCCCCCTGTTTTTATTAAAGAAATCTGTTGGACGCAGAGGGTGGTTTGCTTGTGGAATGAACTTTCTGAGGAAGTGGTGGATATGGGTACAGTTACAACGTTTAAAAGACATTTGGATAAGTACATGAATAAGAAAGGTATGGAGGGATATGGGCCAGGAGCAGGCACGTGGGACTAGTTTGTTTTGGGATTATGTTCGGCATGGACTGGTTGGACCGAAGGGTCTGTTTCTGTGCTATATGACTCTGTGATATTGAAGAGACTTAGTCTATTTACAGCCCAGTTTCCTAGACCCACCCATCTGCAGTTACTTCACTAATGATCTTTTCTCAATCATAATATCAGAAGTGAGGATGTTTGCTAATGATTGCACAGTCTACAGTAACTCCTCGGATATTACAATAGTCTGTACCCACATTCAGTAAGAACTGGACTATATTCAGGCCAGGGCTAATAAATGGCAAACAACATTTGAACCATTTCCAACAAGATAAAATCTAATATCTCCACATAGCATTCAGTGGCATTACCAGTGGTAAATACCCACCATCAATTTTACCATTGGTCAGAAGCTTAACTGTGACTACAAGAGTAGGTCAGAGGATGCAATTATATGATGAACAACTCACCACCTTTCAAAGCCTGGCTACTGACCAGAGGATGCAGGTCAAGAGTGTGATGGAATGCTGTCCACTTGCCTTGAATCGTGAAGTTCTGTCAGCACTCAAAGCTCACCACCAACCAAGACAAAGCAACCCGCAACTGAGGAAGAGTCTTTTGGCCTTGAACTGTTATCTCTGTTTCTCTCCCCACATATGCTCCTGGACATGCTGAGTTTTATTATAGCAGCCCACTTGTTTGGCATTCCATCCATCTCTGAAGATGTTCATTTCCTTTACCACCAGTGTACTGTGGCAGCAGTGGATGCTGTCTACAAGCTGCTCAGGAACAACTCAAGGTTTCTTTGCTAGCACCTTACGAACCTATAACCTGTACATCAAGAAGGCCAAGGACTGCAGGACCCTAGGAGTAGCACCACATTGCAAGTTTGCTTCAAGTTGCTCACAACTTTGACTTGGAAATGTATTGATATTCCGTTACTGCTACTGGGTCAAAAAATTGGACCTCCTTCATAATAGCACTGTGGATGTAACTATATCATGTGCATTGTAGCAGATCAAGAAGGTGGCTCATCAACAGTTTCTCAAGGTTTCTTGGAGAGAGCCTAAAAGTTAGTTGGAATTTTCAAAGTAAAATTGTAAATAAATTGGAATTAGTTTCTTTCAAGGCCTGGATGCAAAAGAACATAAAGTTGGGTAAAGTCAGTAGCATGTTTTCCTGTTACATTCATTCCCTTTCCCAGAAACTAATCTGAACACACCCGTGATCTGACTGAATTAAACTGGTTCCAAATGCTGTTTGCCCAGTCACTTCAATGCTATCAGTCCAAAGGTTGTCTCAATGTAAAAATTTTAATGCATTTTAATGCATCAAGCGAGGAAGCAGTTCCTTTGCAAGAATTATTTATTCTGAATTATGAATAGTTGTATGGCGAGCTCTGGTATTCCCATGTGTCCCAAGCATGAAAGCTCTAAAGTGCTTTCTTTTCTCAGAACTTTTGTTGTTTCAATCTTTAAAGAGTATCAACCTGGAAAAATCAGACTGAAATGTTGTTGCCCCAAATTTGTAGCATATTTAGTTTAATTTCTACTTTCCAGACATGTTGCAGGACTCAATGCTAGTAGAGCAAAAAATATAATTGAATGGCGGGAGAAGAATGGACCATTCATCAACAGGGAACAGCTGAAGGAAGTCAAAGGGTTGGGTCCAAAAACCTTTCAACAATGTGCTGGTTTCATCCGAATCAATCCAGAAAACATAAAGAACTTTTGCAGGTAAACAAATTTATTTCAACCTATTTGTCTTTTGTTAAAGAAAACCAAGATAGTGATCTTAAAGACAGTCCAAAACTAGTAGTTTTGCTGTTGAATGATGCAGAAATATTCCAGATCAATTAAGCTGATTTGTGGCAGAGGTGTAGCAGGAATGTATCCGAGAATAAACGCTGTAATTGACCTTGTTTTAAGATGATGATTAGAAAACAATTTTTTGAAGTGCAAACTCTGCAAGATTGAAGCCAGTCATGTCATTTTACACTCTTCCAATTTGGTTTCAACAGCAATCAGCAGAAGTCTAATAGCGCTGCGGGAGGCCAGCAGGCAGCTGAAGCAGGAAGCAGTTCCAAGACAGGTGGTCGAGGGGGAGCAACTGTGAAAACTAGTAAAAAGAAGGGCAAAAGCCAGTGTACCTCAGTGCAGCCAAATCCTTTGGATCAGACATGTATCCATCCTGAATCGTATAACACAGCAATGAGGTAAGGGCTCCAACAGAAGGTGTGATCTTACCTAGTAATTTGGAAGTAATTTATTTCTGTCATAATGACCAGCTGAAATATGTTTCCCTTCACAAAGCCAAGTTTGTGTGAGGTCGTATGTTAATTACTATTCGAATGTGCACTGTAGTAATAAATAGAAAAATTGTCAGTTAATATGTTTTTACAGCAGTTTATGTTGTAATGATAATATAGTTATATTTTGTTGAAGCACAACTGTCTCTGTTTCAAAAGTTTTTTCATCAAAGCTAGTCTTTTTAAATTTCTGTAGTAAAACAATAACTAATTACACATTTTATGTAGTAACGTGCAACTTCAGCAATCTCTTCTGCTGTACCACCGCTGGAAATGTTTTAAGAATTTAGAATGTGAAATTATTTAGTGTGAATGATGATGAAAAGCTTAACAAAGAGAAAATAGGCCTAAATGTATTTTGTACATTCGTGGAGCCACTGAATTGTATAATCCCAAAACATTTGCAGGTGTTGGCATAAAAGTAATCTTCAGTGTTAGCAGTGAAATCTGAGACAGGAAGGTGGCTTGTAGTAATCTTATAAAATCACACTTGCATGTGTGCATCATAACCTAGCAGTTTTCACGGTTTTATCTGGATTTAATCTTGGCTTATTTTTTACGTGTGAAATTCGGATAAAATAAGGTCACCACCCCCACGGCATGACAGAGGGTGTTAAGTGTGTGTCAACTGATTGGGTTAAAGCCTTGTAGGATTGCTTTAAGAATAATAAGCCGTCTTAGAAATAGGGCCTTTTACTTTTTCTCAGATACCTGGTGCACATATCTGGTATCCTGTTTCTTCGCTGAGATGCAGCCATTTAATCATGTAAGGAGATAAACAAAGGTCATGTCCTCTGGCTGACCAAATGACTAGACCAGGTAGGATTACAATGAATCACAAACATTTTTATTTCTGAAATAGCGTTATGTTCTCAATTTCCATCTTTGAATGCTTAACAGTGAATCAGTTCTGAATGTTTGATTGGCAATGCTCTGTGTTTGGCAAATTTGTAAGCTTGTTCTTTTAAACTGGTTTAAAATTTTATTACCTAGCACATAGAGGGAATTATCCCCGTAAGGGTTCGTATTAGTTTATGTTGACTTTTTTAAAGGGAGTTCCTTCTAAACTTCTCTTTTTCTTTAAAACCTTGCTATGATGTCCTGAAGTTGCTAACCTCAATTTTTTCTCCTGCTCAGGGCAGACAACAAGTGTGTCGATTTAAGTAAATTGGCATCACCTTTTAACATTTTGTTCTGGATTTTTAATTGCAAGTAAATGCATAGACGTGTTTCTGAAATGGCTAGGGTAATAGCAAGTTAATTTAGGTTAATGCCTTTAAAACATGGCTGAAAGGAAGGCAAGTGACATTTCTAACAAATCTATTAATTATGGCCCTACAATTTTATAATTTTCAGGAACAATAATCATTTCTGACCTTTTTATCTTGACAATATTACTGCATGTGGGAGCAGTACTGCAGGTAAAGAGATGGTTTTCAGCGATTGCTTTATTGTAATAATAAATTATTCAATTTTCAGCAGAATTTATATGTAGGACATGTGTGAAATTATATCTGTAGCATAAACTGTTAGCTGCTGCATAGTCCATTTCAAACTACACTTCATACAATCTAATACAAAGTACTATTCAGGCAGACTATGCCAGATCAGTGGCTTCACTGGGCAGGCAGAAAGCTTTTTGTTTACCGGTATTGTAATATCTCCCCCTCTTTGTTTGTCTATTCTTCAGGGAACAGCATAAACGAAATAGCTAAGAACAATTCTAACAATACTTATTCAATTTTCTATTCTGGCGCAGTTTTAATTGCATGTTTAAACCAAGCTGTGATTAGCAACAAAATCCACAACAAAAATGACTTGCATTTATAAAACAATTTTTGTGTGAAAACAATATTTCAAAAATAGTTTGTATCAAGACTTTAAATTGAACAATGAACAGGGAAGAGACTAAAAGGAGATGACCAGGTGTTTCTTA